CCACAGGCAGCCACGCTCCCTTTCCTCAGCCCCCTCTGCGCGCCCGTAGCTTCAGCTGGCGGGCACGGTCTGCGGCACAGCCGGAGCCGAGGCGTCGCAGGCCGTACGGCTGCTCCCTTTTCCTCCCCTGCCTCTTCTGCCTCTGTGTTCTAGCGATGCTTTCCCTCACCCCGGCGCTGCCGCGCTCTGGTTTTGCCTCGCTGATGCTCTGAACTCAACCCAGCGCTTGCCCCCGCCGTGGCTGCGCACCGCGCCCAGAGCGCCTTCCCCGCGCGGCCCCCGGCCCGCCCGCCGCCGTGCTGCTCTGCTCTCCGCGGGGCGCGGCCTCGCCGGTTGGAGAGGAGCAGGACAGGCTGATTTCTAGCACCTTTTATTGGATGTTGTCCATCCCCAAGACACTTTCATTTTGACGCTTCTGTGAAGTGCAAAAATTAACTAAATTTGGTGAAGCTTCGCTGCAGAGGAGCCCTCGGCTCTGGGCGGAGGCTGGCGGCGGGCTCACTGCGCTGTGATGCGCTTCGCCAACACAAAACCAGACAACAGGTGTATGCGCTCGTCGCGTTTTGGTAGCTTTACTCATCTCAAACCGTCTTAAAATAAGCAGATCCCTTTTGTTTCCTGCTGCTGCAGTTGAGCGGGTGAGGGAGCTCAGAGATCTGCTGCGAGGAGACGGGTGTCGGGGGGCTGGAAGGAAGCGTTTCCCTGATCCGTTACCCGGATCGGACTATCCCAGGCTTGTAACTGAAATTCAGAGGGATGGCGGGGGCCCAGCTTCTGCCCTGAGTTGCAGGGAAGGTTTGTTACACGGTGCAATGCAGAGCCCTTGTTGAAACGTTGGCCGTGATTTGCAAACCCTCGCAGGGAACCGGGGGGTTTAACCCCCTAACCGCTGCTCATCCATCATGGGTGTGGGGCGCAGGACAGGGAGCCCCCGGGGAGAAGGAGAGCTCGGCCTGGGGGGGTTCATGCTGCAGGCGGTATTTTGTGATGTGGGAAAAGGCAGGGCGAGGGGCTTGCTGCCTTTGCTGGGGACGGCAGCTACGACGTCCCGCTCGGAGCTGGCTGTGCGGCCATGCTGGGGAACAGGAGCTGCTCTTGTGCCGGGCGATGCAGATCGATGGCTCTGGAGAAGTGAGGCCAAAAGGGCTGTGCGGCGTTGTTCCCGCCTGGAGATCCCCCACGCCACCTCTTGCACCTTCTCCCTCGTGGCATCGGCAGCGGATGCGACTTCCCCAAATTGCCCTGGGTTTCAGCGGCCCTTTGGGGCGGCGGGGCCGGTGCGGGGAAGGAAGGTGTGATTGGTGAGACAGGGCCGCCGCTGTGCTTAAAGCCTCTGACTGCAATCGCTGCGAGCAGATGAGGAAGTGTCACAGCGCACCCGGAGCGGAGCCCCGACCATGCAGCCCCTCCAGCGTGCCCACCTGCGCCTCCTGCTCACCCTGCTTCTCCTCTGCATGGTAAGAGACACCCCACGGCCTGGGGCCCCGCGAAGGGTGCGACGGCTGTCGAGGGGCTGTAGGGTTCAACTGCTGGGAGAATTTCTGCTGAACTTCAGCTGGAAACCTGAGCATTTGACTTTCTCTTTGACTTTAACCCTGGCTGTCTTACCAGGAGCTTGGCGCTGTGGTCTGTAAGGTGTAAATACTTCCATACATGGCTTTTTTTAAAGCATTTTTTTTACTTAAGAGCATCGTGCATATCTGTAACCTTCGCACTTAGCTCTCCACCCCATCTTGCAGCCTCTCCTTTGCATACAAGCCCCAGCCCTAGCCTCAGCCCGTGCCCGGTGTGGGGACACCGAGTACGGCTGTGGGGACACTGGGGACCCAGGCACGGCCGTGGGGCTGCAAGGACGCTGGGTGGGTGCATGGCCGTGTGGTTTCCCTTCACCTCTCCCCGCTGGAGGTTGTTTTCCTTCCTGCCGGGAGGCTCCACAGGGGCTTGGTTCGAGTGCCGCGCGGGTGGGTGTCGGCTCTCTCCTGGGGGAACCGTTGCCTGGGAGGGATGAACGTGCCGGCACTTTCTGGGAGGGCGACGCTGTTCGGAGCAGCTCTCGGGATGATTTTTTTCCTACAGCATGTTGGTAACAGGGCCAGATTTGTCTATCGTTGTTTCGCTCACAAACTCCGCGCATCTGCAACCTGCTGCTGGCTCCACGAGGGGCATTTGTGTTGCAGGAGTCCCGCTCTGTGGCTGGGCAAACCAGCCGAAACCCCTCATAGCCCAAGAGTGCCTGTGAGGGGGCAGAGCTGTGCCCCGTGCCCCTGGCCCTGTCCTGGCTCCGGAGGGAGCCGAGGAGCGGTGCGAACCAGCGTGGGGGCTGGTTCACAGAGGGAAATGGAGTCCCTTTTCCAACAGACCAGGGCAGCGCTTGTCGCTGCTGTCCCCGCTCACAGGCATAACGCACAGCCGCTTACACCAGGAGTCCCAGGAAAGGACCAAAACCCCAGCAACAGTGGTCCTGCACAGCCAGCGCAGGAGGCATTCATGCAGACACCTTAATGTGGAAGGTGCCGATTTTTAGAGACGGAAGGAAACCGCCCTGAAATCACCATCCCAGCTGCGTTGCAGTTCACACACCAACTGCAACGTCCCTGCTTGCGACAGCCCGGGGGGACGGGGGTCCCTCCTCCTTCCCCTCGCGTGTTTCCCAGCTCTGCTCCCGCACCCCACACCCTCCGCTGCAGGGCCCGTGGGCCACCACGTCCCCAGCCGCTTCCTCACAGTGCTCTGAGGGGCAGGGACCCCCCCCCGGCTTCTCCTTCGCCCCACCCCAATTTCTAGCGACAGGGCGACGATGCGAGGGAGAGCTCGCTTCGCTCCCTGCGTTGGGAAAACCTCAAAGCCAACGGTGATTTCTGTCTGTGGAGCGAAGGAGAACCTGCCAGGGGAGAGGAGGCTGTGTGTTCCCCCTGGGAAGGGGCAGTGTGGGCGGCGGGGTGTCCCCGGCTCGTTCTGCCGCCGGGGCAGCCGGGCGAGGGCTCTCAGGGGGGATTCCCACCCCTCGCTGCTGTCTGCTCCGCTTCAGAGCCAGGCCTGACTCTCTCATTTTCTTTTCCAGCCCCTTGCCCAGCTGGTAGAGACGGAGAGTGTCACCAGCACCCACCCCACCACTACGGGCCCCCCTGCCAGCAGCCTGAGCCCGCCCTGCAGCAGCCCACCCCTCCTCTCCCTCGCCCTGGGCCTGGCCGCCGCTTTCTTCCTGTGGCTGCGCTGACCCGGAGGCAGCCACGTTGCAGCCCGGCCTCCCTAAAAAGGCACCCCCGGGATGGTGTCCCCTGCACCGGCATCTCCTCAGACCCTCGCAGCACGGAGGACCGGCCATCGCTCCCATCCCTGCCTCCCTCTGCTCCGTGCTCCCCTCGCCCTCCGGCCTCGAAACCCTACAGCTGTCCCGGCTTGATGCAAGGCCCTTAGGCCGGCTCGGGAGCAGGCCTGCTGTGAGGCTCTGAGAAATAAAGTAGAGGCAACTGGATCGTCTCCGCGGTTCGTAACTGGGGGGGGTCCGTGGGACCGGGGCCTAGTGCCGACACGCGCAAACAGCGCCCCCCACCGGCCGGGCGGTCCCCAACAGCACCGCCCTCAACCCCACGGCTGAGTCCTGGCCAATCCCATCGCAGGGGCTTGTGCTTCCCACCAATCCGACGCTGCCAAGCTCCCTGCTATTAGCCAATCCCGGCCTGGCGGGGGGTATATAAGGGCGGGTGAGGGGATGAGTCAGTTTCTGTCAGGCGCGGCCTGGCGTGCGGGCGGGAGTCTCCGCTGAGAGGCGGAGGATTTTCCCCCTCGGCAGCGTCCCTACTCCCCTAGCCGGGCTGAGCTTGTGTGTTTTGACGTCCCTCCGCGGCTTCCAGGTGCCTAAGCAGCACCACGGGCCTTCTACAGGGTGGCAGCATCCTCCCTGCGTGTCTCCTGGGTCCTCGTTCCCCGTTCTCTGGTGGTCTCCTCTGCCTTCTCGCCAGCATTTCTCTCACGGTTTGGGGATGGGGTTGCGGTGCTTACCCTGGCAGTCGGTATCCGTGTGCCTGTTGGCTCTGCACGCCTGGCATTGCCCTCTCCGAGCAGCCAGTGGAAGCGCAGCCCTGCCTGTTGCCCTGCCTGTTGCCCTGCCTGTTGCCCTGCCTGTTGCCCTGCCTGCAGGCAGCGGTTTGGGCTCGGGCCAGCAAGAGCCTGCTTGGCAGAGGAGCACGTGGGAGCTGGGTGTCCCTACGCAGCACGCTCCGCTCTCCTGTCCTGTGGTTAGGTGTCCTCCTGCCCCAGCAGGTCCTGGGGCAACTGGGGACACGTTTCAGCATGAAAATAGACGTCTGATGCCGGCTGTTGCCAAGAGCCAGAGCAGTCGCTGGCCGGCTGGAGATGCCTGATGGAGGGACCTTTGCATGCCCAAGGAAGCCTCCGGGGAGGTGCCTGTCATCGCCAGAACAGCCCGGTCTCGCTGCGGGGTTGATAAGCAGTCACTGCCCGACTGCAGCAACTCTCCCTAAACTGGGCTCAACCTGCTCAGCAAACCGGGCCCTCGCCGGCAGCCGTCTCCCCTCCCTGGCAGCGAGGAGAGAAGCGCTTGATGTCTCGGTGCGTGGATTTCTCGCCCCATGTCCCTCCTGGCTCTGCGTCACATCCCCGGGGAGCTCCTGCCCTCACCCAGGCGGAGAAGACCTCTGTCCCAGGGACCTCGAAGACGAGCAACCTGAGCCGTGACGCAGCTCTGCGGCGCAGACGCTGAACGCTGCTGAGGCAGAGCTTGCCCTGGGGTGACAGGAGTGGAACAGCCCCGAGCCCGCAGCGCGGGCAGGCTGGGCTCCCCCCGAGCTGGGGCTGGAGGGGTCCCGCAGCCCCCGGTGCTCCCCGGGGGCACAGCTTGGCCTGCGCCTCCCTTCTCAAAACCCAGGGCCCCGGTGCTGCTTGTGGACAGTAGAGGGCACTGGGCTCCCGTCCCGGGAGCAGGATTGGGCCTGGGGCTGGCAGGGGGACAAGGTGCTGGGATGGGGGGCAGCTCCTCGGTGTGGGGGCTGCCAGGCTGCGGCCAGTGCAAGGACAAGGACAAGGACACCAACCACCCTGGCAGAGCTGGCCTGGACGAGGGGGGCTGTATCTTACACAGGTACATAAATACAGTTCGGAGGGGGAAGCTGGCGGGGAAGGGGCTCTGCCGCTCTCCAGAGAGTCCTGCGCCGGTCGCGCCCGTGGGGTCCTTCGTGAGCCACATACGTGGCTCCCCGGGAGGGAGGCGGGGTGGTTCCCCCTCGTGACGGAGGCCGCTTTCACGCCAGCAGCCGGGGCAGAGGGGTCTTTGGGGTGCGGCATGCGTGGGGTAGGAGGCCTCCCGCCCTGGTGCGGGGATGCTGGCGGGGCATCCCCGTCCTGCCCCGTGGCACCTCTGGGCGGGAGGGCCACCCCCTCATAGCACCTCTAGGTCCCAGATCTGCGTGGGTCTTTCCTCAGCCACGTCCCAAACGATGGCGTGGTCCCGGTCGTAGGATCGGCCCCCTGCGGAGCGAGGGGAGGGTTTCAGGAGGGCAGACCGCGCTCCTGATGGCGGCGAAGGGGTGGGTGCCCCCTCTCACGGCCAAACACCCCGTTTTTGGGGGTCTCTGGGAAAGCAGCCCCTGTGCCGGCACCAAGGCCTCACCCTTTATATCGAGGATCATGTCCTCGAACATCTGGCTGTGGATCCGTCCCTGAGAATCGACGCTCCAGGTCTGACGTGGCATCCGGGTCTCGGACCACAGCACAGCCTTCGCGCCCTTCCCAGCCGGCCCGATGACCTGCAGGCTCATGTTGGGGGCCACCTGCAAGGAGAGGCGGTGGCCAGGTCAGCCCGCTCCTCTCCACCACCTCCGCCCAGCGCAAAGGCTTGGAGCTTGGAGGTGTTTCCCTGTAAATGCAGCTGGTTCTGGAGTGGGACATGGAAAACCTCTCAGGGAGAGGCAAGAATGATTAAGGTGTTGAAAACCCCTCAGGGGAGGCAGAGGTGCCTTTGCGTCTCCAGAAGAGACATGGGAGGAGAGAATCAACTGATCTTTGGGGACGAGGCTGAGGTCAGATGCTGGGAAAAGCTGCTATAAACCCTAAAAGATCGCTGCGGGGTGGGGAGGACCCCACAGGAGTCCTGCCGGGGGCTTCCCGGTCCCCTCCGCGGCGCTGGCTGTCACACCTGAGCCCTGACCTGGTTCTTGATCAGCCCGTCCTCGTAGTACCAGACGGAGCTGCTCTGCTCGCCGAGGCTGGAGACCACCACGCGTCCCGCTTTCATGTCCTCCACGTCGTCAGGAACGGAGAGGTAGAGCCCCAGCTCCCGGCTCCTGATGCGGAAATGGATCCGTCTCTGGAAAGAGAGAGACCTGCTTTGCACCGGCAAGCCCTGCCGCCTGCACCTCCGGCCCCGCGCGCTGCGGTGGCCGAGGAAGGGCCTCACCCGGCTTGCGGCTTTGGGAAGGGAGGGCCTGGGCCCCTGCGGCGGCTGCCCGGGGGTCCTCCTCGTCCCCCCCCGGAGGTCCCTGCCTCTCCCGAGGGTGACGGCTGTGGCCCTGGCCTGTCTCTCGGAGCTGGCAGGGGCACGGCTCTCCCCGCCAGGATGCTGGGGTGTTTTGCAAGGCGCCTGCCCACGGGGAGCGTTTCGCCACCACAGCGGCCACTCCCAGGGCGGGGGACAGGGATCTGGGGGTGACGGTGCTGGGCTGGCAGCACCTTTCATGGGCCAGAGCTGTTGGCAGCATGCTGCTGCTCCCCGGCCGTGCCGCGCTGCCCCCCAGCTCACCCGGAGCCGCTACCGTGTCCTCCTCCCAGCCATCGGGGCTCCTCAGCTCCTTGTGAGCCGCCTGCCTCGGGGTTTTGGGGTTCACCCCCGAGTGCCAGCGCCCCGTCCCGTCCCAGCGCTCACCTGGCGGATGGGGTAGAGCGATCCCACGTGCTGGAGCCCGCTGTACGTCAGCCAGTTGGTGATTTCGGTGCAGTCCAGCAGCCACTGGCGCCCTCGGAAGTCACCGTGTTCGCACAGCACCCAGCTGTGGGGGACAGGATGGGATGGGACAGGATGGGCAGAGCACGGTCACCCCCAGGCAGGCAGACAGCACCCGCCGGCCGGGGGAGAGCAGGGCTGGGGCTCACTTACATCCCGCCTTTGACGCGCACCGACAGCACGTGGTTGTTGAAACCCTCTGCCTGGAGACTCCGCACTTCGTTGTTCAGCTCGATCTCCTTCCCCTCAAAACACTCCAGCCCGTGCAGGAAGATGGAGGGCTCCGAGAAAAACTGCAGGATGGGGGAGAGACGAGGCGTGAGGGGGGCAAGCTGGAGGAGCCAGCACCCATGGGTGCAGAAGCCAGCGCCAGGGGAACCCGTGGGAGGGGAGAAAGGGGGTTCCTGGGGGCTTTCTGCCCCCGCGCTGGCGGCACTCACCACCGGGACCTTCTTCAAGGAGCGGATGGCGGTGGAGGAGAGGCAGCCCATGGCGCTGAGCGTGGGGTACTCGCCTTCGGACAGCACGTGCTGCTCCCCGGCAAAGGCCTGCCCGTCGAACAGGATCCAGCTGGCGGAGAGGAGTGTGCCCGGGCTGACGCGGCCACTGTGGTGGGCATCCATCCCTCCTGGGGACCCCCAGCCGCCCTCTCCTGCCCACCCTCCCGGGGAGCCCCGTGGGCACCTGTGGGGCTGCTGGCCGAGGCAACGTCCCTGTTCCTGACCCCGTTCCCGGCCCCGGCCGGAGGCGGCGAGGCCCCGGGACACCCTACCTGCCCCCGCGGACTCTGCAGGAGCGCGGGACGAAGGCGGTGGGCAGGGCGTCCTGGTCTTCCTCGAAGGCAACGTGGTCCCCCAAGAAGTCGGGCTCTGAGAAGAGCAAGATCTGGGGAGGGGGAGCGGAGGGGCTCAGTGAGGGGGGCAAAGCATCACTACCGCCCCGCAAGGGGCCGCATCCCCCAGGGGGGCACGTCCCCCTCCCCATCTGCCGCCCCTGACCTTGGAGACGAAATGGAGGTTGTGTTCCCCGACCTGGAAGCAGACAGAGTGGGGCTGGTTGGTGTCTTGCCCCGGCCCGGCCCGCGCCAGCCCCGTGCGCGCCGGCGGGTGCTGCGGCGAAGGGGGGGGTCCGGTGTTCCCACCTGCAGGATGGGCTGTGCCGAGGCGATGTGGCAATCCGTGGCGCCCCAGTCTTCGCAGCTGCGGTACACCCCCTTCTCCAGGATGTACTGCTCGCCCGAGAAGTTGGTGCCCTCGTAGGCCACCCACCTGCCAGGAAAACGTGGGTGCCGGCTCAGCCCCCCCATCTGTCCCCCTGTCCCCCCTCCACCCCGTCCCCACACTCACCCGCCGCTCAGCACGTGGATGGACTGGGTGACGGTGCCATAGCCGGCCAGCTGCGTGTCAGGGAGCGCCTCGCTCAGCTCCACGCTTGGGCCCTCCTCGAGGCCACGCGCTCTCCACACACTCAGCCGGGGTCCTGCCTGGCCTCAGGGACCCCAGGGAGGGTGGGAGCAGCTCTGGCCACCGAGGCCTCTGCGTGTGATGAGTTTGGGGGAACTCAGGCCATGCCCAGCTGTCCGACGCAGTCAGGGAAGGCTCCCTTTTGGGGATGAGGATGGGACCAGGGGTCTGGCTCTCCCTGCCCACACTGGGTCTGTCCCCAGGCAATGCCACCACCCCTGCCCTCACCGTCCGTATCAGCCGTAAGGACACCAGCTCCTTGCTGTAGCCGCCCCACTGCCTCCAGTCCTGGTACTCCCCTTCCTCCAGCAGGTACTGGTGGCCACGGAAGCCCTCCTTCTCGTAGCCAACCCAGCTGTGGCACAGACAGATGTGGGCGGTGAGGTCTTCAGAGTGGAGGATTTCCACGTGCCAGGATGCGGGGACACCATCCACGCCTCTCCAGTGCCACCCTCTGCCCCGAGCTGCCTGTGGCCATCCCACAGCTCCAGGCAGCTCCTCCGAGCCCTTTCCTGGGGGCGACTGTCACCTTCCCAGCCTGCTCCAGCTGGGATTGCCCACCCTGCGCCACTCACCAGCCACCCAGGACTTGCAGGGAGCCCACGGTGGGCAGCGCTGGCCCAGGCAGGCGCTTCACGTCGTAGATGTCTCGGCTGATGGTGAAGCTGCGGCCCTGGAAACCGGCAGCCTCGTAGATCAGCACCTGGGGACACAGCAGGGTGAGCACGGTCCCACGGCCGTCCCGGTCCCACGGCCTCCCCGGGCGCTGGCCTGGCACTCACCTGCGGCTCACCGGGTCTCTCCACGACGGGGCAGCCCTGGAAGGAGAAGGAGCCCCAGTGAGGCCACGGTGGCAGAAGGGGGCATCTGACCACCCCCTTTAGAGCCTGTGCTGTTTTTTGGGTCATTGTCATTCAAAACCAAGCTCTTCTGGGCTTTGCTTTGTTGCTTTCCTTCACCACTAACCCACAGGAGCACTTCCCAGAGCCATGATCGGCACATTTCCATACCGAGCTCTCACTGATGTGAACCGGGAACCGCTGGGAGATGCTCTCGCCTGTCATGCCCAGGGCTGGATATGGCCCCAGCACCACGGTAACCAGTAACGCTCCAGCAACCGGCACTCACCAGCCTGATGGGGTGCATGGAGCAGATGGAGGGGTCCTTTGCTCCCCAAGCCTTTAAATTGGGGTACCCGCCTGGCTCCAAAACGTAGGGGTCATCGTCAAAGAAAGGCTTGGAGTAAACCAGCCACCTGGGGAAGACGGGGAAGGCATCATGGCCTGCTCCAGCCCGTGCTGGAGCCCACCCAGTGCCCACCCATCACCGCAGTCCCACTCACAAGCCCGAGTGGACGATGATGGAGGCGGCGGTGAGCGCCTGGCCCCGCGTGCGGGTGTCCTCGGCCGAGTCGGTGAACTTCAGCCGGGTGCCTTCGCCATTCTCGTCCGCAAACAGGCTGATCTCGGGGGTGCGGTAATCCTGGCGTGGGGCAGAGCAGCGTTACGGGGGTCCGGCACCCCCACTTGCCAGGCACTGGGAGCCATGGCAGGGAGCGGGGGGCTCGGGGGGGTCCGTGTGCTCACCCGCACCACCCTCTTGAAGGAGCCGATGCGGAAGGGCCGGCTGCCGCAGGGCTGCCCGCTCTCCCCATACGCCGTCCAGGGGTTGTCGATCTCCACGTCCCCCTCGGCCAGCACGCACTTGCGCCCGTGAAACCGTGGCTTCTCGTACATCACCCACCTGGGAGCGGGGTGGGAGCAAAGGGGGGGGAAATCCTGCTTTTATCTGCAGCCCCGCAACCATTGGGAGCCTCAGGGCAGCGCGTGGGTGGGGACGTCCTGCCACCGCCACAATGCTGGATCGCAGCCACAGTAATTAGCACTGGCGGGACAGTCACTCCTGAACCCCAGGCTGGGACTCGGCCGCCGTCCCCGGCACGGGGAGTGCACGAGCCCCGGCCAAGCCCTCCCTCCGCGTCCTCACCACATGTCCTCGCCCTGCTGCCGTCCCCTACCCGCCTCGGATGACCCGGATGGAGATGGTGTGCGAGAGCTCCCAGGATGTGGCATCGGGGACATCGCCCCAGATTTCCCGTTTCTGGCCCGCAAAGCCGGCCTCGGAGAAGAGGATGATCTGGGAGGGGGTGACACAGTGGAGAGATGCTACCATGCCGCAACGCAACGCACCGTGCCCCAGCCGGCCAGCGCAGCCCAGCACCACCACGCTCCCTGTACCTTGCCAGGTCTCGTGTTGATCTTCTTGAAGCCCTCCTGGTCCTCCTGCTGTGAAGACCCAAGGGGATGGGTGTGTGAGGAGCGCGGAGGGCCATCGGCTGCACCAGCCATCTCCCGCAGCCCAAGGAAGCCGCAAGCTCAGCCTCGCATCTGGCGTCTGCCAATCCCTCCCACCGCCCCGAGCAGCCACACCTCGAGCGTTCCTGCACTGCTGGGGATCAGCCTCCCCGCCTGCCCCGGGCCCCTCCGCTCACCGCCCCGCGTCCCTCCCATCATCCGTGGTGGCACCCTCCCATCACTTGACCTGGTACCCTTCCGTCACTCATCCCAGTGCCCTCCCATTACCCATCCCTGTACCCTCCCATCACACTGAGGACTTTCACCCCACGCCTTCTCTGATGGGAAGCACAAGCCATGTGCTGGGAACAGAGAAAGATGCTCTGGGGGTTCAGACCCCACCACCTCCGCATGTGCCCAGGAGGGCAGAGCATCTCCCCAGGCGCCGCGCTGCGGGATTCACTCACCAGGACATCAGCGGGGCACAGGGCCATGGCACTCTCTGGCTCTTCCGTGATAGGAGGGATGCAGCCAGGATTCAGGGCTTCCAGCACGGCCATCTCGGGGCCAGGGTGGTCCCCAGGGCCCAGCCCGTTGTGGTCCCCAGGGATGGGTGAGCCCGTGCCCGCACCATCCCTGCTGGGCAGCTCGAGCGGGGTGGTGCTGGGGGAGACGAAGCGGCTGTAGAGCACACTGTTGTCCAGGCGTGAGTAGGGCTTCCCCTCATCGGCTGCAGCCGCCCGGTGCTCCAAGAAGTGGGAGAGCAGCGCCAT